AATTTTGTGTTTTATTTAAATAATTAGATTTAATATTTATTCAAAAATTTACTATATTTTGTTTTCATGTATTAAATATGATATATTCAAAATTTTAAAATTAATTCTATGGCTTCGTTCAATTTATTTCTCGATTTTTGTCCAATCAATAATAATATCTAAATCCTTCCATTTATAATAAATCTCTCTTTGCCATAAATCACCATTACATTTTTTTTTCTTTTTTTCAGCAGCTTTTTTCTGGCATCTTTTTTTTCGACATTTTTTTAGTAGTATAATAAATATACTCCTCTAATTCGATGGTAGGATAAACATATACTCTTCCAAAAGTTGAAGTATATAACAACAACATTATATAATATACTTTTTACTTTAATCTTCTAACATAATATAGGTATATAATATATATTTTTCATTGTTATATACTAAACCAGAAGGTTATAAAATATATAAACTTGCAATATGAAAATAAATACCCCAATATGTTATATAATATTGACACGATCCATCCTAAAACACCTACTAGTCCTAGAACGAGTCGCGCCGACCACAGACCCCGACTAATTACGAAGTCAATGGTCAACTTCTTCTTATCTTTGACCTGAACTTTGACTAACTCTGAATGGTTGCACGATAAAAATATAATAATTTTAACATAACAACCATTCTTACATCCATTCTATACATTATGTTTTATCAAAAGGGTGCTAACAGTTTTACAATAACTACATGTACGTACAAAGTGATATGCAAATCTCAACTACTCTGTGTGGCTGAAGCTGAACTAAATTCTCCTTGAAACTCAGAAACTCATATACTCAGGTACAACCTGGAGGAAAAAACAAAACATAAACAGTAAGCTGGGAAGCTCAGTGAGTGGTAGGTTAATAAGAAAATAACTTCGTCAACTTTCTTTCATAAACAACTGAAATTCAGTTCTCAAAGCAAACTTCATAAAACTGAAGTAATAAACATTCTCATTTAAATTCCATAAAACTTGAGTAAAAGTGGAGCAACATTATACATTTCATAAAACTCAGTAAATTTTTCAAAATCAAACTTGTAACAACAATTTTTTTCTGGACAAACTGAAAAGATCCCAAGTTCAGGATTCGGACCAAGATTCGGAACTCGGATTCGACCTTAATCGTCCCGGCATTCCCCTACGTCCTAGTTACGCCAACTTCTCAACCTCCTATAAAACATATTCTAAAACATATAAAATATTATTCTTTTAAACTTAAAATAGATAGATAAAACTGAACACCACACATGTATCCATATTCTATTATGGTTTACTAGCGTAGAGTAATCTCAATACATACAGCAGAATAATTCTGGTCTACTAGCATAGAGTAATCTCAATACGCATAGCAGAATAATTCTCTCAACACGT